GGGGCAAGAGCGCAAGAGGCGCAGAGACAGGCCCCGGCGAGGGGAAGAGCGCGGGAAGCGCGTGGCATAGGCCCAAGGGGGGCCAGCCTGCAAGAGTAAAGCCCAGGAGGGGCGAGTATAAGGTTGGAGACACAAGAACGTCCGGAATAGCTGCGAGGCTTGGGGCATGCTAAAAGGGAGGTAGGAGGCATGCATAGCCCATAAGGCTGGGGTGCGCCAGGTCACCCATAGAAATTAGGAGATCAAAGGCAGCCTCCCATCATAACTATAAGATCAAAGACGTGGCGGGCGAGAATTAGAGGGTGCTGGATCTCCTAATTGGCACGGCAGGGGGGCCTAGCAGGATCACGGCCGCCCATAGGCCCCACCCCGTGACACATGTATATACTTGAGTAGCCATAACTCAAAGCACTTTCTTCACCTATTTGTACCTAGGCTTCCTGTTTTCCAAGTTTCAGTCTGGAATATTTTTTTTTCTGCCTGATTTATAAAAATCTTTAAAGTAGGCAACTATGATGTGTTAAGTCCAGTAAAATTAAATTGGGCCCTGTACCAGATATTCATTCCAAGACTAGGACATGGTTACTTCTTAACCAATAATAAATTAAGCCTTTAGCAGTTACAATTCTATTACTGTGGTTAGTCAAAAAGTAGTATAACATGCCCCCTGCTGCAAAGCACAATGAACTTGACAACACCAGGTGATCAATCTGTGAAGTCTTGTCCGGGGGGCTCCCATTTCCTATGTCTGCATAGAGTAGAATTCTTGGATTTTTGTCAGGATCTCTTTTGGAGGGACTCTGGAGTGCAAGCTTGTTTTCTACTTACATACCACGTTTCTTATCATATCTTTTGGAAGTACTAAAGCATGGCGCACAGTTAGATTTTGCCACTACATCGTTGTAGTTTCATAGTTACTAGGGTCGGAAGGGACCTGAGCAGATCATCAAGTCCAATCCCCCTGCCATGGCAGGAAAGAGTACTGGGGTCAAACAATCCCAGCAAGGTGATTGTCTAGCCTTGTCTTAAAGACCCCCAGGGTAGGAGCCAGCACCACTTCGCTTAGAAGTTGGTTCCAGATCCTAGCCGCCCTGACCGTGAAGTAGTGCCTCCTGATGTCTAATCTGAATCC